GTTAGGAGTTATATTTCTCGTGTATCAACATGAGAAATCTGCTTTTCAACAGATTTGGGAGATCATTATTAAAAATGCAGCTACATATGGAGTCTGACAAAAAGTATATAATACTTCAGCAGTTCACCATATTACTAAATGTCTGGAAGCTGATGGCCACCACTCTGGGCATGTGATATTACTTACTACACATGAGTATTCTCAAGTGTTATATCAAGTCTTATAAGTAAATTATTACATTTATCTGATTGCTATTCTACTCAAATTATTATCTCTTTTATCAGTTAATTTGCCCTCTTCCATGCATGAGAAATACAAAAAAGGTTATAAGACTATAACTATATATAAGACATTGTTATTAACACATCAAAAATTAGAAACAGACTAAGAAAGTAATAGGAACTATTTTTCTAATTCCAGTAGAAAACCCATGTAAAGGAATTTTGAACTAACTGGAAATACTGTTTTTTATTCGAGCTATAATTTATATGTTGACAGTTCAAGGTCTAACACAAAAATCTGTGATTCATGTTTCAGTATTTATAAAATACTAAAGAGGGTGATTCAATGGCTTTGCTTACATGTACATCTGGTGAAATGGAATGATTTGACATTTGCAAAAACTGCAAATATGTATCTAATAGAGAGTTAGACACTGACTCACACTGTACTGTATTGAACTCTGCTATAAAGTGATAGTACAACTTTGTAACTTGGGCATATTATTTCTCTAACCTCAGCATCTGCATAAGCAAATTGGGGACAAGATTAGTATATACTATGTAGTATCAATGTGCCTACTAATTGAAAAACTAGTAATAGAGAGCAGTGAGGACATTTTCTAACACACAGCAATCTTAATAAAAGTTATCATTATGATGCAAGTTAATATTAGCTATCATTAATTATAATTCTCACCCAGTGGTAGGGATAGAAAGCATTCTATCTAACCTGAGAGTGTAGTATAACAAGCATCTTATTTATACCCAAGTTTTGCTGATGGGAGGAAAGTATTCTCACCACATTTTGAGTATGAGAAAGTTTTGTAACTACAGTTGCCTAAGAAAGTGAATTAGCATATTTTTATTTGGGGAGGTTGCTGACTCAGTATTAGCCAGTGTGTTCTGTTCCATTTTTCTGGCAGTATAAAGACAACTTTGAATAACACATGGTCACTTTTAACGCCGCTGCTTGCATCTCCATGTAGGCAGCTGCTGTGTCAAAATGACCTCACTGAAAACCTGCTTTACGGTAAAAGGGACCAACAATCACAGCCAATCCTGTAAGAGACTGAAAACACAATGACTCTTTTTTTTTTTCCAACACAGTGTGAATATAAAACAAAACATGTTTGTGCAGACTGTCTTAAGATGTTATCTGACTGGTACCTTATAAAGCACTGTCTCTTCTCACACATTCTGTCCATACATCCATGAATTTAGTTTCCCAGAAACGTGGCCATGCAAGTTGTTTTTCGATTGACTGATAGATTTGGTTTTGAGTGGATTTACTGCAACCACAATAATCTGTGTGTTTAAAGGTTATCCCACAAATCAAGTTCCATTTGCAGAGAATAAACAAGTCTTGCTATTCTGTTGGTTAAAGTAGGAACACATCAGGAAGTAGGATATGAAATAGAGGGACAGGAGACAGTTCTATACTCTATTGCAGTAAATCTAGTTAAATGCTTCCTAAACATTGAGGCTTTGGCTAGAAGCTGTGTTTACATGCCTGATTTGAACTTTTCACATGAGAAGGAAATTTTGATGGGACCTCAGAGAACCGTAACAGTTCCCAAAGCTCATTCACAAAATGTGTCTATAGGCAGGCAGATTTAGCAACAGGCTATGATTAGCAAGCAAAATAAAGCAATAACAAGGTGAGGTGATTGAGAAATACGGAGAAGAAAAGAAAGGAGAAACGAAACTCTTAACAAAATCAGTGGAACAATATAGGTCTGAAAAGTATTTAATATAGAAACTGTTTTGTAAATTGTTGCAACTCGCCTTGCTGTCTGTGGTAGTAAATTAGCTGACACTCATTTGGTCTTCAGCCACAAAGGAGTTTTTAATCGCAGTGTTTTGCAAACATTTGCTAAAAGTTCCTTTTAAAATGTTCGTATGTCAATTAAATATGTTGCCATTGACTGTAGTCATCAGTGTGCAATAGATCTTTGAACTTATTCCTTTTATCCAATGGCATTTGCCCCAATTATTTTTGAATCTGTCGGTCAGCATCTCCATGGTAATAGGTGTGAGGTGTTATACCAGTCCACAGTGGGATACCACCTCACACCTATTACCATGGTGATGATGAGCCTGGTTTGGTGGTGCACATCAGCAGTCCTAGGACTGCAAGGAAGGCAGAGACTAAAAGATCGATCACACGTTTTAGCTTAACCTGAGGAACATAGTGACTTAGCAGGACCCTATTCCAAAAGAAAAAAAAAAAAAAATGACTGAGCATATAGCTCAGTGCAAACACCCTTGGTTTATCTTTTTGGGATAAAACATGAGCAATAATAAGTAATGGTGATGCTATGATGAAAAATAAACTTGCACACCGTCACTGGGAATGTAAATTAATATAACCTTTACAGGAAAGAGTATCTCCTCACAAAGACAACTGCTGTGTGACCAGCTACTAGGTATAACTCCAAGGGAAGTAAAATCAGCATGCCGAAGAGATTTCTGCACTCAGATGTTCACTGCATCATTCGTCACAATACTCAATAGATGGAATCAACCAAAGTGTCCATCAATTGATAAGTGAGTAAATAAAATGTGAACATGGAACATTAGCTAGCCATGAAAAGAAATAAATCATGTCAGAAAAAAGTAGCATTTGGGGTTTGCATTGACCCGTGGTCTTTTCCCTTTTTTCTTTTCTTTTCTTTTTCCTTCCCTTCCCTTCCCTTCCCTTCCATTCCCTTCCATTCCCTTCCCTTCCCTTCCCCTCCCCTCCCCTCCCCTCCCCTCCCTTTCCTTTCCATCTTTGTTTGTACACACCAGGACCTTCCCACAGACCCACATCCCCGGTACCCATGACCTAACCTCTGCCCTTTTCAGAGAGGGTCTCAGTTAACTGCTAATTTCCCTCACCTGAGAATTTGTGGTCCTTCAGCTTTAGCCTCTTTTCTCTACAAATGTCCTGTCTTACGGTGACATTTTTACATTGAAGGGAATGGATTTACATCAAGTTTCTGTGATAGAATTTAAAGTGGTGTCACATAAAAGCACCATGGAAAAGAGAGTGTCCTATATTACTTGTAATAGGATGATTTATAAACTAAAATGTATCATATATGACACAGTCATTCCTATTTCCATAGTGTCAAGGGTCATTTCTTTACAAACATTGCCTACATTTCCATGGTCTGGTGTCTTGGTCAACACAGTGATGGGGACCTATAGTCCCAGCTGCTCAGAAGACTGAGAAGACTCAGGCCAGAGGACTCTCTAACCTCAGAAATTTGAGGCATGCGGGGCAACACAGTAAGACATTAAAACAATTAACAACCAAATAACTCAATATTTTTGCCAATCTGCACTGTAATCAAAGCGTTCCTCATTGGCCACATTATGACTCAGTTTGTTTTATCTGATTTAAATTTTGCAGCAATAAGTTTGACTCATCTGGTTCTCAGAGTTCCCTCACAGAATCTTTTGTTCTGATCTTTTATCCCTTTGATTTACATTTGCTAAAACTTGGAAGCATTCATATAACCCTGGGGTTCTACTCATTAAGAAAAAATATCCAGATTATTGTTCTCTGCACCAATTCTAGAATTTATTCTCCTCACTAATATCAAAATAGCCACTTAAAGCCAAAAAATATTCAAAAGGTATATAATTTCATAAAGAAGGAATTCTGAACGGAAGAATTAAGAATCTTGTAAACTCCAACCCCTTTTTCCTGGATCTACAAGATGATATAAAATCTTCTTTTTCCTTAAATATGACTTGTTTCAGCTAATGTCATTGTATCATGTTAATTGTGACTCTCTGGTTTCTTTCATTAGCTTATAAATTCTTCATAAGAGCAAGCAAAACTAAAGATATCATAGACATCTACTTCCATTTCTATACTGAATCATCCTCGGATTCTCCTCTAGCATTTAAGTTGGCATTTAATAAGCATCCAGCTGGAACATCAGTTAAATTGTTACTTGGTTTACCCGGGAGCGAAAGGATTGGTGAATCTACCACGCTGTATGAAGTTAAATCACTGGGGTCTATTCCCTCCATATTGCATAAGATTTAGGTTCACAGATGTGTCATTGCCTTTATGTTATTTATATTTGCTTATATTCCAAAGATACTCCATCCTCTGTAAAATAATAATCTTAGAAATTGTTGGTGTTACAGATGAACTTGTGTCCCCCCCAAAAAGATTCACTTTTAAAGTGTAACCTCCAATGTGGCTACTTTTGCAGATGGAACTTTAAAGAAAAAAAATAAGAGGAAGTGAAATCATAAGGGTGGGGTCCCAATATAACAGGATGGATGACCTTGAACAAGGGAAGACACCTCAGCGATGACAAGCACAGACTGCCCACTGGAAGATGGGATCAGAAGGAGGTGTAGAGAGGTGTGAAGGTAACGAAGCTGTCTAAGGAACTTGGACTTCCCATCTCAGAATGTTCAGAAACAAATTTCAGCTCTCTAAGACTTCCAGCCTGGAATGTTTTCTTCTGGCAGCAGCCCTCACTAACTAACATCGTCGGATAGAACCAGCTCTCAGAGCTGGACTCCAGAGTGTAAATTGGTGGAGAGCTTCAGAAAATAATGCTTTCTTTATAAATGGTATTCTTAAAATGACCTCATATTGAATATTTTCTTATCAATGAATAAGCTATTTCATTTACTCAGGAATGAGAACAAAGAAATATATTTATACAAGTTGTAGGAAGCTATGACTAATAACGGCTAGTTTAGAGCACCGTGCTAATATTTTTGGAAGCAGAAACTAGCTCACACACTGATTTAACCTCCACTTACCCTACTAATCATTCAAGTTGTAGATGTTACTGTCACACACAGCTCCAAGTCCTGCTAGAAATTGCTCCAAAGTCTATAAAATAAAACAGATGCTACTAAAAAAAAAGTCCTCAGAATAAGAGCATTAAGATGATTTTATGTAGTGGGTTAAAGTTAATCAAATTATGCATTTTAAAGATCATGTATTTTCCAGGTAGTGAACGCAAGAGAGAAGCTTCTGAATTTCACACCAATTCACACCAATTTCAATTTAATTGAAATTTCAGTTCAATTAAAAAATTCATGTAGTGAACTGGTTCTGGATGAAAGCACAGTTCTTTCAAGAGATTATGACAAAGAAAAGAGATTATGACATAATATTCACAATGTATGTGTTGGAGCAATCTCTGCTAACACTTTTTTAAAATGTAAATATAGTAAATCTAGTTGAAGATATGGTACAAATAGTTTAGTAGTTGTCATTACCTTTCTTTTGAAAAAAAATGTTGATTGAAAGAACACATTGAAACCAATTACAAATTGTTATCAACTACTGCCAGGAGGAAAAGAAATAACTAGGACTTCAAACAACTGAATGCGGAGTGTAAAACCAATGAGAGATAATATGGATTCACATTTTAGTGACATACACCTTTGAAAGGTGTCTTGAGTAAAAAGCACAGTTTTGAAAGTGCATATATGGGACACGAGAGCGTAGAAACAGAAGAGAAGGCAAGTATTCAGAACAAAAGATGAGACAGTAAATTTCTTCTTTCTTCTCTTGGATTATCTAAGCATTAATACAGTAGCACCATATATTGAAGATCTTATTCTGTGTATATGAAATCATTTGAATATTGAACGCTTCACATGGACTTTGTCTCAGTTACTTTGCTTTCATTGCTATGACAAAATACCTGACCCCAAAATGAAGGAAGGAAAGGTTTATTTAGCTCACTGTTTGTGGAAGTTTCAATCCATAATCAGTGGGCTCCAAGGCAGGGTGAATGGCTCTGGGGTAATACTTCAAGGCAGCAGCCAGCAAAAGCAACCAGAGCAAAAGTGGGGAAGAGCAAGTCTCTTTTCCTCCCTTATATTCTATGCAGGCCACCCCCACTTCAGGGTAGTTGTAGCACTCACAAAATCTTGCTCTCCTTTGCACAGGATGAGGATATGTACAAAGTACGAACTCTGGGCTCCCTGCTGAGTCTCTTACTTAAACTTCTAAACTTCTCAAGTTGATATAATGTAGCAACCATAACAGATTTGGAGAAGGATTCAATTAAGTTTCAAACATTTGAGAATTTCCTTTAAAGATACTAAGAGTATGTATGTTTGCTATTTTATTATAACATGTCTGCCTTACAAGAATTTACACGTTGCCTATCTTAGAACTATCTGTGCCAGGAACGGAATCATACATATATCAGCAGGCGGAAGTAGCTATACTCATTTTTCCCATCCAAAAATAACTTTATTACGAAACATAGTATACCTTCTTCTTGCCAGGTGACTCATTAAAATGTAAATCAGCCATGTAACCTGTAATCTACTTAAAATTTTCCTAAATGCAAGCACCAAAGCCTTCATTCTTCATTCCACACTATTTAAAAATTCTCTTACTTTACCTAAATAAATTTATTCATAATTATTTTTGTGGCTGAAACCTTGTCCAAGTCCCAGCGCCTCTGAATATCAAATCATATCACTGATAATACACAAATAGTCACCATAGGCCATAAGACCTTCAGGATCCAGGTCCAAATGTTTCTTGAAATCACTAAAGATTACCCTACATTTTACCTTGAGAATCAGGTGGAAAGATTTCACCTCTACCATGCTACTCTCTTCTGACAGTGTCTCTCACACTCTAAATGTCATTAATTCTCAGGTATCAGAAGCTGCAGTGTTCTGTGCAGAACAGGTTGAAAAATGGCCTCCAATTTACCCCTCACTATGTTCCAAGGTAATGCAATTCCTGTCCAGATTTTCATTTAATCTTCATAAAGACATGTCCTGGATCATCAGCTCTTTAGAAGCTCCCTATCAGTTCATGTGTCCAGTAAAGATGGACACCAAGCTATGCTATTAGCCTTCACCTTCCCATCCTTACATGTGAAGTTCCCTGTAACAGCAAAACTATAAATATCCTATTTTTTCTTCAGCAAAATTCAAAGTTCTTTGTGTATTATTTCAAACATACAGATGCTGGTGAAAGGGTAGTAGCAATGAGCTAAGACAAGAATATTTGGTTGAAGGTTTCCATCTGGGTTCTGCCTCTCTAATGAGAGGAAAGCACTTTGATAGAAGTACATTAAGGTAGTGTTTAAAAATCTATTGCCCAAAGAGCAAAAATTGTAAGAAAGAAAGGATGGTTAGTATCAGGGACCTGGCTTAGATCCGCAATCTCCCAAATTGAGTGCACAGTGAAAGCGTAAATAAATGAAATAAGTGGTAGGATTTTAGGGCTCCTGGAGGGTTAAAACACTCCGCAGAGTTCAGAAACTCTGGTGGATAAGACAGGGGATGTCTCTGGATAGCCCATATTTATTTAGAGGATTAGAGTGGAAACTATAGGACATTGAACAGACCTTGGGAGTGGCTCAGACTTTTCTAAGTAACAAATTACTTTAACAAAAAGAAGTATCTTAGGAGAAGATCTCCATGTTGCATTTCACTACAGGGGAGAAATGCCTGCGGCTGTGGTCTTTATTTCATAAATTGGAGTTGGAGCCAGATATCCTCAGCTGTTATCTTATTTTGCCATTGTGTGTAGCAGCCCTGCACATGTATTCAATTTCCAGTTTCAGCAGCTCCCAACAGGTTAGCCAATTAGATCCACAGTTCAAGTGTTCTTATTATTGCAATTTCCATTGATATTTAGTATTTTTAGAAAAAATATACGTTTATAAGATAAATACACTTATATAAGTTCACACAGACTTTTAAAAAGTCAATAAATAAAGTTATAGTTAATAAAGTGACCTTTATCCTTATTTTTTTTTGCTCCACCATTGGAAAGCCAGAGGATAATAACCTTTGCTAATGATTCTTGCTTCATTTTGCATAACTGAATATATTTTCTCTCAGTTCTTCTACAACACTAAAATATAGTTTATTCAGGTTCTTTTAGCCTACCAGCTACATGGATACAACTTGCTACATTGTAAGAGAAACACAATAAATTGAGAATGGAAAAGCCTGTTATAAACACCATTGTCACAATTTATGTAAGCACATGTGAATGCTTTGTTGGTTGAAAGGCACTCTTAGCATATCAGGATATGGAGAGAAATTTCAGAAAGCTTTTTTTAATAGGGTCAAATTTTTTTCCTTATAAGTCATAGTGCCTATTTGAATAGGAGTGGCACCAAAACTCCACAAAAGTTCTTGAAGTAACAAATATCTGGAATGGAGGATAAATTAGTATGTTATAAATTAATATATTAGTATATTAGTATTATATAAAGTTAAAAATAACTTCATAAGGGGCTGGGGATTTAGCACGGTGGCATAAGCGCCTGCCTTGCAAGCAGGCAGTCATGAGTTCAATCCCTGGTACCGATAAAAAGGAAAAAGAAAAAAAAAAAAACTTCATAAATTCAATGGAAAATGAAATAAATACACAAATGGATTAGTTTCCTGAAGTTCAGATTTAAGTTTGCTTTAGGTTACTGTGCTAGAGAGAAGATATCTGAAATCTAACAACAATAAATAACAGAGATTGCTTTGTTGAATTCAAGTTCATACCAAAAACTGCAGAATAATAGTGTGAATATCAAATTTGCATGAAGAATTGATTATGAGGCATGAGTAGACAGATTGTGGGGATTTTATTAAATTGTCAATACAAGTGAATTGAAAACAAATGGGTATTAACTGATCTTGATTATGACACTGGGTTTCTATTTTTTTAACCAGATCTTAGTTTCCTTGCTTCTTAGCTTTTCACCTAAAAAAGTGGGAGATTATATTTAAAAAAAAAAAAAACTATAAAGATTTAGGACCCAGGAAATTATAAAGCTAATACATTAAAAGATTTTAATCCATACCCAAAAGTGATATCAAAGAAACAGAATTATAGTAAAGAAAATAGAAATCACATTTCACACTGAACTATTTACATAGGGTGTATGAGAAATAAGAGCCTCTTCCCTGTTTCAACATTAAACTTTTCAAATATAAATCACTCTTTTAAAATCATAACTACTGAATAATAATAATAGAACAAAAATGTTCCAACTGGAAAAAAAAAAAAGAGCTTTCTGAATACCCACAACAAAATGTCAACTAGAATTTACAATTTGGCAGGACCATTTGCTGGAATTATTGAATCATAGGTCTACTTTCCTTGAAGTCCAAGGTGTGTTTCTCATTGGCAAGAACAATTTAGATTGAGCACATGAAAAGCTGTGAATGTTTGTGCCGAGTCTTCCTCTGTGACCTATCTATAGAGGTCTAAGAGAACAAAGAACATTCAGTCACCTCAAGAACTTCCTGTGAAAATACAGTACATGTTGGCGCTTTCTTGATAAGCCATGACTTCATGTCTTTATAGGCTCTCAGCATTTCTCAAATGCCTAAGACAGAAATACTCTTATTTATAAATGTTAATTTGTTTTTAATAACCATCAATAAATGATTCAATGTTAACTACATCACCAGGACCTTAATGTAACAAGGCAGAAATCATCTGTCATTCCTAAGTGTGAAGTGGGTGACAGTGATCTGGAAAGAAAAATGGATAATCTTGGAAATACATGAAGATGGGAATTATAGCAAATGCTGGCTGGAATTTAAGAACTGGCAGATTTGTCACTCTGATGGTATAAATGAAAACAAGGATATAGTTCTGGTAGAGTCCATGTTAGCAGGCGAGGCCCTGAGTTCAATTCTCAAAAGCAAGAAACAAAAGCAAAGGAAGGAAAGAAGGAAGGAAGAGAAAAGAAAGAAAGAAAGAAAAAGAGGGAAGAAGAAAGAAAAGAAAATTATATTCATACTCGGATCCATGTATTTTAGGAAGACGATCTATTTTGTCTAAATTGATATCTTGCATGAAACATAATTAATTCGTCTGGAAGGAAGCTTGCATAA